CTCCTAGAATTATTCCAATTCCTAAAAAGGGAGGTGTTTTACCTTTAATACCTATTTTTGCCGGTTTATCTGCATTAGGTGCGCTTACTGGTGGTATCGGTAATATAGTAAAAGTCGTGAATGATTTAAAATCTAATAAAAACACCCCTATTCACTTAGGTAAGGGTTTATATCTCACGCCATATAAGGGGAGTTCTTATAAAATCGTTAAAGGTAAAGGTTTATTCCTAGCACCGTATAAAGGTGGGTCAGTGGTAAATAAATCTAGAAAACCGACAAAAAACTAATTGACACGCTACCCGATAGAGCATTGTATGATTATGAGATTATAAAATACATTGACTTGTTGAAAATACCTCATTTCATTGGAGTATTTTCCCGAGACGGGTTGCCTTTACATTATAAACATTGTGAGTCGGCTATAGTTAATTTGGATGTCGAAAAGGGTGAAGGAACTCATTGGGTAGCGTATAGAAAAATCGGTAAACAAGTTAAATATTACGATAGTTTTGGAAATTTACCCCCACCACTAGAATTACAGAAATATTTCAACGATTGTAATATTGAATATAATTACGATAGACATCAGAAATACAATACAACAAACTGCGGTCATTTGTGTCTAAGATTTTTATCATGTACACTATAACGTTAAACGGTAACTCCAGTGAATTATCTTGTGACTTTTTCCCACCGATAGAAGTCAGTAAAAATGCTAAGATCTGTCTATTAGGTTTTCAGACAAACAATTCTATTCCTAATATAAACAGCAAGTGTAATCAAATAGGATTTATTAATAAGAATGATATGGGAGTTACAACGCCTCGCATCTACTCATTACCTACAGGCTCTTATGAGTTGAGTGAAATTGAAGCGGTAATAAAGCATATACTAACTGATTCAAAGATATCGTTCGAGTTGAAGGGGAATAATAATACGTTAAAATGTGAAATGCTGTGTAGTGAATCTATAGATTTGTCTATGCCTAATAATATCGGTGAGTTGTTAGGTTTTGAAAAACGTACATATGATGCTAATGTTAAACATCAATCGGATAAGTTGGTGAATATTACAAAAACAAACTGTATATATATCGAATCAAACTTAGTCATGGGCTCATTCAATAACGGAAAGCAGTGCCATACAATACACGAGTTTTATCCGAATGTTCCTCCAGGTTATAAAGTGATAGAAATTCCAACACATTTGGTTTTTTATTCCATAAACTGTTCATCAATTACACATGCAGAGATAATATTAAAAAATCAGGATAACGAGTTAATCGATTTGCGTGGAGAGCCTGTATCAATACGATTGTTAATCAAAGACTTATGATACAATGGGTTTACAGTTTTATAATATAAATAGTCAGGCATATGAAAAACTTGCTAGTCGAGCCAGTGACATTATCAAGTCAACAACTCCGAGGAAAAAATATTTGAAATACTATAAAGTGGGAGGTGGTCAAACAGCCGAAAATTTAACTTTTCTCCGCTCATTAAACGCTATTTAACATGGATGATATGTATTTAGATGTATCGGGTGGACATGTCGATGATTGTAGGATAACTCAAATTGATTATCATTCTTTTCTCCCTTATTCAACATCTGCTCTCTCCAATAACGATGAAGTGCGTATTGCTTTACATAACACAGAGTCGTATACTTTACCATGTGAAAGTTATATCTATATCGAGGGTACAATAACTAAACCTGCTGATATGACAGATGATATTCGATTTATAAACAATGGACTAGCATTTCTTTTCTCTGAAATGAAATATGAACTGAATGGGATTCAAATTCAGAAACTCACCAACCCTGGTATAACTTCAACATTGAAAGGATATTGTTCGTATAATAAATCAGACATTGTTTCACACTACAACGCTGCTTGGGATGATGATATTAAAAATGTTAATAAAGATTTTATCGAGAGTGGTGTGTTTAACGGATGTATTAACCTCAAAGATTTGTTTGGGTTTTGTGAAGATTATAAACGTATTTTAATAAACTGTAATCAACAACTGGTATTAAATAGAGCGTCGTTAGATATAAATGCGATTAAGCAGTATAAATACAATGAAATTGTTATAGACGCTTCTAAGTTAAAAGATGTTAAAATAAATATCTCGAAAATATTGTGGAGAATGCCTATAGTCAAGGTTAGTGATAAAGAAAAAATACAGCTGTTGAAAGTGGTAAACCATCAGAAACCTCTGAAATGTGCATTCAGGTCGTGGGAATTGTGTGAATATCCATTTATACCTCAAAACACTTCGCATTCGTGGAAAGTAAAAACATCTAACAAATTAGAAAAACCACGGTATGCTATAATTGGATTTCAGACTGATAGGAAAAACAGTATGAGTAAAGCAATGTCATGTTTTGATCACTGTAAAATCAAAAATTTAAAGGTTTATTTAAATTCAGAAGTATTTCCCTACGAAGATTTTCAAAGTGACTTTACTAAGAACAAAATGGCTACATTATACCGCGCTTATACCGAGTTCCAGAAATCCTACTATGGTCGTGATAATGTTACACCTCTATTGACTCGATCAGATTTCAAAAAAGTATCACCGATTATAGTTGTTGATATGAGCAGACAGAATGATAATGTGAAAACTTCAACTGTCGACCTTAGAATTGAGATTGAGACCGAAGAAGCGTTTCCAGCATCTACTTCAGCATATTGTTTAATCTTACACGATCAAATTATAACCTATAATCCATTTAATGGTGAAGTAAGAACATTGTAAATATTGATTGTGAAACTTAATATTATTTGAATAAATTAAAACATATATAATATATCATGTCTTTTTATTTCACATAAATTTTTTAAAACATTACAACTATTTAAAAGAGTTTGCTCTTTTTTATTCTGTGTAATGGTTTTGGGAACGTAGCATACGTTGATTGATGTTGGAGAGGTGTGGGTTGTGTGTTGAAAAAATCAGGACCATCGTTTACATCAAATGACTCTAGTAGTCTACCAATTGTATCATATGACTGAAAAAAGTATATAATATATATATAACAATTATATATTTATTATTATTATTTTATAAATTACCTTAACTTCGAAAACATCCTCCTCCTCATTTTGTGTAACAGATGTATTGTCTATCTTGATGTTTGGTGGTGAGGTTTGTGAAATCATTGTTACATTTCCATCAAATAACTAAAATAATTGATAGGTACATTAATTATTTTTTCATAAGTGGTATAAATATATTTTTTAGCTTACCTCTGGTGACATATTTTCCTTATTCCACCGTTGTATTGAATGTTCTGCTAATTGTGTAAATGCTAGCATTTTGAGTTGACTGATGAAATTAATATCATGTTTGGGGCTGCTTGTAATAATATGATCATCACGTATATTTTTAATAAATATAATCATTTCTTCAACCGTTTTTGGTGTCGAATCCATTTTGCTAAGTTCTCTATCGAGATATTCGGTAAATATTTCAAATTGATTTAAGATGATTGGTTGCATGATAGTTGATTTTCGTGTAATTGTTTCAAAAATACACCATTCGAGATATTGAAGTTGTATAAGTTCCACACGATTTAAAAGAATTCGGCATCCATCTTGTATCTTTGACTCTACTACTAAGGTGTTTTCACCGCTGTACATCATGCTAGACAGCTTGAAATTCTCCGTCTCAAGAAATATAGTTCTTTTATATTTTCCTGGTTGCTCCAAAATAAATGATAGGATATTACCCATGAGTGAAAATATCCGTTGTAGAAAGTCGGTTGAAATATTAACATATCGTGATGGAGTTATTATATACACTGCTACTCTGAACATATCACTTGGATCGATCCCAATATGTATAAACTTACGTTTCATGAAATTTAACGTATAGTTAGTAGAATCGAGGAGCTCCGAAGGTGATGCTGGTGGAATATATGTTAAGGTTTTCTTGTATATAGCTGCATTATCCGTGATTGAATCAGCCATGTTTAGAAATACTTGAAAATTTAACTTTTGTATAGTGTAAAAATTAATTTAAACGGATAATAAAACGACTTGATGGTTAAGTGTTTGTATCACTACTGTCGATATTATAGACACTACTCTACTCTATTAATACTTAAAATATTGTGATGAAATAGGGTTAATTGTTTTGTTTACTACATCATTAAATAGCAATTAAAAGTTGTATACTTTCACATTTCGTAATACGATTTTAGAAATTCCAAGTGATGGTTATATTATAGTACCTTTATTAAAGTATAATATAATAAAGTGTTTGTATGAATATTATATATATATATATATATATATATATATATAGTAATTCTTTCCTAATATTTCAATTGTATGCTTTAAATAGTAGTATATTATTTAATTTACTTATTCATATATTCAACATTATATTTTATATTTTTATATATTTTTTTATATAGTTTTTTTTAATTGGGGGGGGGGGATGGCTGGGCATGGCCGGGCATGTTCGGGCATGGCATGGAGGGGGAATGGCAGCGCACGGCATTGACTCGCATGGACTAGGGACTAGGGACTAGTGTGTGTTTGAACCATCTAAATCATACTACTCACGTATTTTTCAGGCGTCCTTTGGGTGTGATCGTTTGAAAGTTGTTGTTGTTGCAGAGATGCAACTACCTACTTATAGCATCTCTTTTTCTGTACCTAATGCTAATGATGTTGCAAGTAGGAAAACCGGATTGTGATTCTGACATGTATATTTTATTGTCAAAATGTTACCTATGAATTGGATTACCGAGTATACGTTGTGTAATTATAAAGCGGCCCTCACACGGTCAATATTATTGACAGTATTTTTAATACTGACACTATTATTGATCGTGTAATGTGAATACTGACGTACTGTCAGTATGAAAAAACGATACTGATGACTGATGAAATAATTGGATATCGAGCCTTCAGTATTTATTTACTGACAATAATATTAACCGTATGAGGTAGATACTGACAATTCGTCAGTATGTTTTTCGCAGCCATGGGTGACGAAAGTCAAAATACGTGTACTAGTGAATCCCGAGATAGACAAATCCTGCGTGATTTTATTGCTCAATACAAACAGTTGCCGGAATTATGGGATGTGCGTAGTAAAGAATACACACGACGTGATAAAAAAAATGCGGCTTATGAACAATTACTTACTATTTATAAGGGTTTGAAATGTGATGCTTCTATTGACGACGTTAAAAAAAAAATTAACACTTTAAGAAGTAATTTTCGAAAAGAACTTAAGAAAATAAATGATTCAAAAAGAAGTGGAGCTGGAGCAGATAATGTATATGAACCGTCGTCATGGGTATTTGAAGAATTAACTTTTTTGACAAATTTGGAAAAACCTGTTGAAAGCTATTCGTCAATAAATGAAGAAATCAATAATACCGTAAGATATTTTATTTTAGTATATTACAAGCATTATACCTATGATTTATAATTTAAGTACCTATCAAGTAGTACATTTTTGTAATTTTTTTATGATAAACTTAACTAAATTAATTAATATTTTTGAATAATAAAGATAATAATATTTTAAAAATGATACATTTTAATTTATAAATATCAAATGATGTAATGGGACCTTTTATAAATAAACACATATACATTAAATCGTTTAAGTATATTTTATTAATAGTTATAAATCTGTAATATTGTTAATTGTTATTCTAACAACAAACATTATTACCTATCGCTATAAATATAATATGTCTGAATCCTATTCTTAACAGTAAACACGTCTTATCTTTACTTTACATGTATTAAGTATATATTATAATATTAACTAAATTTGATGAATCCATTTATATCATGTTAACCTGCCACGGTACTTGACCTTCTCTACAAAAATAACTAGAATATTTATTTCTCACATCTTTTGCTTCTAAACTTATTGTACGAATAGGTGTTTTTTTTAAAGGTGTAAACAAATTTGGTGTTATATCACTACCATTTTGTATTTCCCCTGTCTCTGTATTTTCCTCAATGAGTAAAGTTTTGGAACAGTAAATGTTTTGATTAGTTGCAATTAAAAAATTGTGCAAATAACAGCAAGCTAATGTAATTAGAGTTGCTTTTTCTGGTCCAAGATTTATTGGCTTTTGAAAAACTCCAAATCTACTAGCTAATACTCCAAATGCGTTCTCAACTGTTCGTCGAGCTCTTGATAAGCGATAATTAAAAATACGACGCTCGTGATTAGTTAAGTCATGTTGACTGTAAGGTTTCATTAAATTAGGTTGTAAAGAAAAAGCCTCATCGCCAACAAACACGTAAGGAAATTGTTCTGTGGTGTTTGGTAAACAAGATGGTGATGGAATATTTAGTGTGTTATTCTGAAACTTTTCCCAACATTTTGTATAGTATAACACTCCTCCGTCAGAAATCCGACCATTAGCCCCAACGTCAACCATCATGAATTGTAAGTTTGCATTTACAACAGCCATTAGCACGATACTGAATGTACCTTTGTAGTTGTAATATAATGATCCAGAATTTGGCGGTTTTTTAATATTAACATGTTTTCCGTCAATTGATCCAATGCAGTTACTGAAATTCCATTTAGCTCCAAAATTATTTGAGACATTTTGCCATTGTTCAGCAGTTTTTGGAAGCTAAAAAATTAATTTATTATATTATTATATTTTATACACACAATGATATTTTCAAATGTGATTTTTTAGTCAAAAATTAATTCAATCTACTGTTTACACTAATAGTAAAATAAATTATTTAAATGGTATTATCATAAAATATTCTTTGTTATATTTAGGCTGATAGACTGTCTTGTATCATTGAATTGAAATTTAATAAATCTATATCTAATAATATTTTTTAGGAAACAATTGATGATTCAGGTGGATCAGTAGAGTCAAATGTATCTTTTGTCCGACCTCAAGTCAAAAAACATAAGTCCTCAATGTCCTCAACTACAAGTCTGTCTCAACAAAATGAATTACTCTCTCTAGCATGTGGGTATTTGTCCAAACATGATAACAAAGAAGAAGATAGTGATTTACATCTGGCCAAAGTTTGGGCAAATAAACTAAAATATTTGGATCCAAACCAAAGGTTATATGCCGAGAAGGCAGTTAATGATATATTATTCGAAGCACAATTTGGTACATTACATAGAAACTCTGTTAAAATTAATGAAAATTCTTTGACACAACCACCAACATGTTATAGTAGATCTTCAACACCATTATCGTCAATAAGTTATACTCATACACAAACTCCACTTATTTCACAGGATTGGATTGAACAACCTATGTCTCATGAGAATGAACAACCTAAGTCATTACAGTCATACATTTCTACTTTTCAAGTTGAAAACTAATAATTATGTCATAAAATATAAATTTCAAACTTATTTACTTTTGATGTGTTATTAAGAATTAAAAATATTAAAATGTTGTGCTCATAAAAAATAAAAGATTGTTTTATTTAAGTACCTGTATATAATCCTTGAGAACAGTTATTATTGCTTCACATGTTTCGATTACAATTAGACTTATGGTTGTTGGTGAGATTATCGAGGTAAATTTTAGGTCCTCAAAAGTCCGTCCAGTTGCCAGGTACCTCAATGTAACAGCCAGTCTTTCATTTGCTGAAATACTCTCTCTCATGTTGGTATTCATTTTAGTGATTAATGGTGCTACCATACTTAAAAGTTTATTATAATTATCAATGTCCATTCGGAAATAATTAATAAAGTCCTTTGGATCTGAAAGTTGCACCTCTTTTATAACATTAAGATGAGTGTACTGTCTTCGTTTGGAAATCCATTGTTTTACCCATCGTTTCCGTTTTCTCAAAACTCGTTTATTATTTGGAATGGATAAGGCTAATATAATTCCTATACATGCTTTTTGCTGTTCATCCATATCCAACAATTATTATTTTATTAAATAAAACAAAAATATTTATTAAACGGAGACCAACGCATTCAAACACAAATTAATACTGAGTATTGACGCTAATAAATACTGACTGTCTGAGGACTATACTGTCAATATGCTCAAATACTGTCAGTATCTATACTGTCAATAATATTGACCGTGTGAGGGCCGCTTAAGTTATGGTATACATATTGTATGAACTACCACTAAATTATTTGAGGGGGGCAAGCGCTCCCCTTATCCCTGGGAGTGTGCGCCACCACAGTGTATTGTGTATATAGTTTAATAAATTGTATACATATATAACTTGTAATTTGTATATAAGCATTATAAGCACTATATTATATATTATAGCTTATAAACTTAAGTATATATAATATAACGTATATAGGTATATGTACATGTAAATATATATAAATATATAATTATAATAATATATTACCTATTATTAAAATTCTTTAATTGTATAGAAAAGTATATTATTATATAAATACGGGTCATCATAGTATCTTTTATTCTAAATACAACAAAGTTTTTTGTTAAAACTACTATAATAATATATACTTGCTAAAACTACTCTTAATTAAAAATACCTACAAATCTATGATACAGCGTAAATATTATTGCATTATGCATAGAAATAATATCCAATTCAAATATAAAAATAAGTATTTTTTTGAGGTACTCGAATACTTATATAAGGTATTATTATAGAAGCTAGGTATATAAAATAATAAGAATGGTTTATGTCTATACATTGTGAATATAATATTGTAAAATAATTATAATATAGTAAAATATAATATTTGCATTCGCAGATATACAGCTCTCAACAATATGTTATGATGTTGAGTTGGTTTATGACGTTGTAAGGCAATGTTTAAATTTGTTACATTATAGATTTGTTAAGCAACTTACAAATTATATATTTATGTGTAAATATGTTACATAATTTCTTTGTTTCATACAATAAACCAACTTTTAAAAAGGTGGGCAAGTGGGTGTCGCTCTGCTGTACAGTAGATTACAAGTGGGTCACTGTTTAATGGATGGTATTAAATTTAAATTCAATGATATAATATCATTGTATAAGAAAAACGATTCTGAGCGGTGATGGTATGTCAGTCTATGTATAAGGCATATTATATACATATCTATGGTATTAAACAAAAAATTGACCTATAATAGGTACCTATAATAAATTCCAAATTAATCATATCACAATATCCATTAGATACTTATAACGCGTTATACATCAACAAAAACCATGATACTATCATAGATATATAATAGTACACTTTAGAAGTTTCAAGTACCCACGAATAATATTATTCAATCACAACAAAATAACTAAAATCGTAATTCTTGGTTTAAATATGAAATTTTGTCTAAATTTGAAATTAAAATGTCTGTAAAAAATAAGTGTGTTTATATATTTTTTAGATTTTTTGGTTACAGTATGAATTATTTAAGAGAACCTTTGTTTTCAATTTTCAACTCTTAGTTATAAAAACTGAACATTTTATAATTTTTTAATTCCAACGATTGATAATTTTCGAGATTTTGATAAATGTTGTCAAAATTCCAACTTTAAATGCTTATAAAAAAAAATCGTGCATATGTATTTTTAATATTTTTCAACTGATATTGTAACAATATATCAGGAGCCTTGTATTAAATTTTTACACTTTTTGGCCCAACAGATAAAACTTTATTGATATTTATAGAAAAAAAAACTAAAAAAAATTGAAAGCTGTAAATGTCCATAAACAGCTCAAAAAGAGTCAAAATATTTTCAAAATTGTATGGTGTATAGGAAATGCTAATATAAACATTCAGTGGAATTTTCATGTATCTACAGTTATTCGTTTTTGAATTACAACAAAATAAGGAAATCGCTACATGAGAAATCGAGTGAAAATCCAATGTTGTAAAAATTTGAATTTCAAACGCTCATAAAAATTTAATTTGACTGTCCGGTAGAGATTTTTTTATTGATAAAGGTAGATAATCTTATAAGGAATCTTGTGTTTCATTTTCAAATCTTAGATTTAAAAAGAAAAATTTTTACGAATTCTTAACTCAAAATAATTTGCTAATTTTCGTGATTTTTCCATATTTTGTCAATTTTTGAACTTTAAATGCTTATAAAAAAAAATTGTGACTAAGGATTTTTAATATTTTTCATCTGCCTTTGAAACAACATATTAGAAGCCTTCTATTAAATTTTCAAGCTTTCGCAACCAATAAATAAAATTTTATTGATATTTTTAGAAAAAAAACTAAAAAAAAATGGAAAATGAAAATGTCCCTAAACAGTTCAAAATAAATCAAAATATTTTGAAAATGTTATCGTGTATAGAAAATGCAAATATAAACAACCAGTGAAAATTTCATGTATATACGTTCATTTGTTTTAGAGTTACACCAATAACCAAAATCGATTTTTTGGAAAACCAATTTTGCGTAAAAATTCCCGTTTTTCCTTAATTTTTATGTTGTTTTTCCCGGCGCTTGTGAAAACTACTGGGAAATTTTCACTTTTGACCCCCCAAAGTACCAACTAGATTCACTTTCCTATCAGAAAAGCTACTGATGAAGAAAATCCAAGCACTTTTATTGTCCTAAAACGTGATGACAGACACAAAAATATAAATAAAAATATAAAAATATAAAAACATACATCATTGTAAAACCAATACATTCATCGCTCCGCTCAGAATCTAAAATAAGTATTTTTTTGAGGTACTCGAATACTTATATAAGGTATTATTATAGAAGCTAGGTATATAAAATAATAGTTTTCTGTTGTCAATATCCTATCACTAGTGCTGCAAGTTGGTTTAACAAAATTATAATTATTATATAAACCGTCATATACCTATCATCTATACTTAACTATAATTAGGGAGTGGGAGGGCTTAGCCACTATTAAACCGAATCATGTATAAATTTGGTTCACTATAGGTCACCTGCAATAATTTGTTTGTCACATATTATAATATACTAAATTAGGACTACTCATCAATATTATAGTCCCATTCAAATTAATACCTATACATTATTATAACATAAATATTAATTATTAATTATGGATTTATTTTTAAATATATATTTAATAATTAATTAATGGTATATATAATTATTTTATTTTAAATAATAGTTTAATATATTTTAATAGTTGGATTTAAATATTTAATCTTCAATCATAATTAAATAAAAATAAATATTACATTTAAATTATTAATTTTAAAATGATAATATATTTTGTAAAATCATTGAAAACAAAATAATTATTTTTAAATCTAAACTAAATATTAATCAACCTTTATCATTGGACATTGTTACTTGGGAAGAAAACCATCAAGACAGTAGACACGGTTCGTTATTACCCGATACTATACGTGCTATACTAGTTGGTCCCAGCGGTTCAGGAAAAACAAATATAATGTTTAATCTGATCACACATGTAAACGGGTTAAGATTTGAAAATATTTATTTATACTCGAAAACCTCTAATCAGGAAACATATGTTTTATTAAAAAAAATAATAGATGGTATACAAGGTGCTAATTTTTTCCTATTTACAAGCGCTGATAAGGTTATAAAACCAAACTTAACGAAGAAAAATTCTATTATAATTTTTGATGATGTGATATGCGGCCCACAATCTGTAATCAGAGAATACTTTAGCATTGGTAGACATTCAGGTGCCAGCTCCGTATTTTATTTAGCACAGACATATTCTAAAATATCAAACAGCTTGTAAGAGATAACGCAAACTTTTTAATAATACAGAAACAAGATGATACAAATTTACGACATATATTCAACGATCATTCGTCTACAGATATGGATTTCTCAGAATTTCGGAAAATTTCTCATTTATGTTGGAATCATAGCTATTATGGGTTTATGGTTATCGATAAAACTCGAGAAATGAATGAAGGAAGGTATAGATGTGGTTTTCATACATTCATTAAAATAAAATAATTTTATTAGTTTATATAAATATACCGTCACACAGTTATTATCTGCTTAGTGTCGTCAGTAGTCATACGATACAGGTATTTTACATTTATTAATAACAATGAACAATGAAAAAGTCTTGTTGGAAAATTTAATAACATCAAAAAAAAATATACAACGAAAAATAATGGAAATGAAACGTGGTGTTATAGATTCTGACAACTATTTCCGTGAAGCATTTAAGCCGATAATTGAACCATTGAGTACACATGTGAAACAAAATGTAACATGTAACACACGGTCAACTGAACTAGAAAATAAATCAGAAACCCCGTGCATTAGTGAAGAAGATAATGATGATGAATTAAATTCATCATATGAAAATTTTTTAAATAACCGTCCTAAATCAACACGTTATGATAAATCTTATGGTATGTATTATGATAAAGATAGTGATTCATATAAAATAGGAAAACATTCTGTTACTTTTAGTCACGGCAAATTACTGTTGCTTAATAAATACTACCGATTTACACCAGGACTATGGTCTTTATTATGTGAGAAGGAACCAAACAAATACGACTATAGCAGATATAGAATCTTATTACAATATTTTGAAAACTAGTGGAGTCCATTTAAAAGCAGATGGAAAACCTAGAACCTCGAGGTACCATAAATAGGTGACTGTTGTAAAACAACTGTATGATAGAATGAAAATGGAGGAAAAACAGTTTAACGAAGAAATAAGTAAAATGAATGCGAACACAACTCCTCGAATTAATTTAAAATCATTTAACAATCATTTATCTAGTTCAAGCGCTAAACGCAGAAAAATAACACTAGAATTTGAACCATTTGATTTTAATCCAGAAGCAAACAGTTCCACGTCTACAAATCCCGTAGTTGAAAAGATGTTTAATTTTACTTCATCACCAAAGACTATGAAAGGTTCTGGTTTATATAAATATGTCTTACCTCAAACCCAATTAGTTTATTATGACGATCCGAATGAGCTA